GCAAAAACCATACTATGAATTATGAATATTGTTCCTTAGGAAATAAAAATTAATTTAAATAACTTTAGAAAAATAAAAATATATCTGTAGCTTTAAGTTAAGTTTTGGGTAAATTTAAGTGAAATACGCGATAGAAAAACATCCGACAAAAGGGCCACATGTGCCTAAATAGCTTGGCCACTTAAATGAATCACTATTCATTGCAAAAATTTCTTCTTCTCTCTCTTGAAGGGCCAGCTTCAGCCATGGAAAAGGGGGGGGGGGGGGTTAGGGTTTTGCTTGTTTTGTTGATTTCTTCTTGAATTCTCAACCAAATCTTATGACCCACCACTTGAAATTGATTAGGAACCACTCAAGGAATCCATTGCACCTATCCATTTGAGCTATAGTTGAGTGTGTGAAGAGTTATTCCTCCTCTTATTTTCGGATTACTATTCATAGGAGGAGAAAAAGTGGGTTTTTGATGGAGCTTTGCTTGGAGGTTATTCTCTAGGCTTTGTACAAGTGATTAGAGGTAAGAAACCTCTATTTCTATGGTATTATTTTGTGATCTATGTTTTGAAAATTTGGAGCATGTTTTGAGTGGGAAATATTTGATGTTAGAAGGTGAAAATTATGATGGATTGTTGTTGGTTAGGAATGAGAGTGTTTAGTAAGCATTAATTTGTGATAAAAAATTGAAAAGCCCTAGTGCACTTTTCCCCTAGGTTTCGGCCTTCATGGCTTATATAGGGTTCATCATGCAAATTTTTATTGTATGTTTGAAAAGGTAAAATATGTTGGAATGTAGTGTAAATGGATTAATTGGTGGAAATGCCAAAGTTAGAAAAAATCCTACAAATACTTGCTCTATGTTGCGAACTATAGGATGTTTAGGGGTATATATATATTGGTTACATTTTATTCTAATAAAATGTGTTGCATTTTAATATACCAATGGATGAGCTAAGAAGTGAAATGCTTTGACAAATGGTTGAAAAATACCTTGAGTCCCTAAGGGTATGCCCGCGACTTTTAAAGAAAAATAGCATGATTTATGTGAAAAATTCTTAAGTAAATGCTTGATTAAATTAAAGAACGCCAACGGGTGTATAGAGGTCTAGACTTGTGTATTGGCATAGTATTGGCAAAAATATAAAGAAAGGAAAATAAGCGATAAAATGTATGCTTATGAAATAATCATGGTATTGCATCATTTTATTGATGCATTGTAAATTATTCTCTAGGTGTACCTAGGGATTGAGAAGGATCGGAAATCTCTTGAAGCGATAAAAGTAACTTGTTCCACAAGTAAGCGTATTGGTAAAGCTTCAAGAGGTAAGCTCTATGTTTAAGGAGTCTTTTCCTGCTTGAGTGCTCCACCATGGTTAGTGAACTATGGTTGGACTGTATGACTGTGATTTAGATGCTTTGTATAGATGCATTCATATAAAGTTATTTGATAACATGATATGTTTTGCTCTGATATGACTTCTGTAATATGATTTCTGTAACAATCTCTGGCCATTGATTGTATAGTACCCGGATGTCCGCTTTGGGGTCCTCCCTCGGGACTGATGGTGTACGCCTCTGATATGTCTGGTTCCGCTTTGGGGTCCTCCCTCGGGAACACGTGCGTTGATTTCCGCTTGGGGTCCTCCCTTGGGAATGACGGCGCACATCTCTGATATGATATGGATATATGATCTGTTATGTTATGATATCTGTTATATGTTGTATTTGTATACTATGTATCTGACTTTCATGCAGGAGTGAGCCAGGGGTATGGAGAATTCTCTATAAACCTGGAGCTTATTGAGATTTGTAATCTCACCCCTCTTGGGGACATATTTTCAGGTGCCCAGATTCCCGGTGAGTCCTCACTAGGCAGGGACACGACACGTGGCTGAGGCAGTTGACAGATCGGATTTTGAGTGGCTGTAGGCTACTACCTTTTGGAGTGTTTGTTGTCTTTTAGTATTTCCGCATTTGATGGATCACGATATTGATCCTTTATTTTGTATATGGCCTGTATATGTTTTGTACATGTCTGTCACTTGGATGCATGTACATTTGGGTATTCAGGCACGTCATATGATGATGTATTATTCAGTTTATGATTTCGTATTGGATTGCATGTTGATTAGGATAGTGGCACGAAGCCATATTTTGCATGCGCCCATGGATGGGTATCTGATTGTATCTGCATGACTGGTACTTCTGGATTACTATGCTGTATAAACTGTTTATCAGGAAATGCTTCTGAGTGGGATTGGAAAATCCCCAGTTGTCCGATTTATAGAGGAAACTCTGCCCGATTTTCGTTTACCCCGAGTAAGATTTAAAAAGAAAAAGAAAAAGTTAGCTCGTATTTTCAGAAGTTAAGTCTTCCGCTGTTTTCTGTTTTATCATATGTATGTTAATTGAACCGGCTCGAGACGGGGATGTTACAGAAGACACATTTGTTGGTTTATTTGCATCTGCACAAGAGTTAAGCCAAATAACAATGCGGGAGGGAGATGAGAATGAGGAACAGGAGGAGGAGGATATGGACAACGATGAGGAGGGAGAACCTGAGAGTATTATTCCACAAGGTGATTCTAGATGAAAGCATGGTACACAAACATCTAATACAATGTCAAATAGTTAGTTGGTTGTAGTGGGGTTAGAGCTAGGTTTGTGCTCCTCCGGGGTTGTAGTATCTCGTTGTATAGGTGCTTAAGGAGGCAATGATATGGACAAAAGTTCTAGGAGAGTCACCGTCAATATTATCTCAGATATGACTATGAAAAGGAAAAATATGTAAGAGCATTGTGATGCTAGAGTTTGGCAGAGTAACAATTTATGAAGGTAATAGATGCAAGATATCTCTTCAGGTGGAGAGGAGGAGCACATATCGGTGAAAAATATTCCCTAATAATGTGAGAGAGGAAAGTCTAACTATTTTGCCCATTTCCTCACTGTTGTGAGTAAGTATGCACATCACTACATGTATGTGGTGAACTGTGTTGGAAGTGAGAGATCCTCTACCTTGTTTGTCTTTTGCAGAACAAACACATGTATTGGGATGTGAAGGCTAATCCAGAACAACTAGATACAGTGGCGGAGCCAACAAAGTATTTTATCCAGTGCCAAAAATATCAGTTGGTGCCAAAATAGTATGGTTATATAGCTACGTCCAAAACGTGACTAATTTTCAAAAAATTTGAAACATGATTTGCTATGTTTATTTAGCTATGCTTGAAACGTGACTAAATTAACTAGTGCCAAAGTACCTGCTGGCACCAACGTGACTTCGCCACTGACTAGATATCTCTATTATTAATTTGTTGAATATTGCGCATGAAGCATTTATACATTTATGCCAAATGATGGGGCAATGCGCATTACATTAACTTCATTAAGACGGAATTTTGTATGAGTATTTTATTCATAATCATGGTATTTTTGAGGCCATTGATCTTGAGAGTCGTTAAATAGTATTTGAATGTTAAGTTTTATAATTGTAGTCAACCACTAGAAAACAAGAACATAATTCAATGGCCCACAATATGCATCATATTGTGGCTAGTTGGCCGCCACACATTCTCTCAAAACAAATTTTATAAAATCTTGACCATTTGCACTTCCACGATGATTCACCAACCCACGGGATTCTAGATTGTGGGAAAGGCTCAAAGATGATGTCTATTTATATATGCTCTTCTAGGCATAAATGTATGAGTACTTTCATTGCTTAACCTATTGTCACCAGTGATTATAGGATATGGTTCCACCAAATAACGTACTTACCTGTACTGTGCAAACTCTAATTCTTAATCATATCAGCTTATATAAAATTTATATAAAAATTCAGGCTAATTTTGTCTTATTTATCAAAATTCAGGTTTGGAATTCATCCCCACTTTGATGTTTTTTTTTTTTTTTTGATAACATACTTTGATGTTTTTTTACTCAAAATTAGAGGTGAAATTAGTGATGACTATAGACTATTAGGTGCCGGATCAATAGTAGTCCAATTTGACTTTAGAGGTTAATTTTTCTGATCCGTATATGATTATGGATTGGGTTGAGTCTGATTGTTAAAAGTTTCAAGGATCAAAACCATATGATTTGATTATTTTGATTTTTAAATTTGCAAACCTAGTTTTGCTTTTTGTGTTTTCTTTGGACTTTCAACCCAAAGAAACATTTAAAAAACATTATAAAATGATTTTCAGGCTTGTGTGCTGGCCCAACCCACATTAAGCCGGATTGGACTGAAAGTAGATTAGGAATAAGATTTTCAAAACTTTCTTCTACTTTTGTTTAATAAAGTGAAACGTTGTGCTTCATAAACATTAGAACAGTAACACTCTTAACATTCCTAATATTGGAAAGTGACAATTTTTGACACGAGTTCAACATGATTAATATATATTGGATTCGCTTTTTCTATCGTCAATATAGATAAGTTATCTACATCGAGTCCAAAATGACATCGTTTTGAGACAAAAATCAAGGTATTTTTGTAATTATAATTTATTTTATGGTTATAATAGTCTTTTTTATTATAATTTTTTAATTTTTCAACTCAAAACGACGTCATTTTGAGAATGAAGGTAGATAACTTATATTCACTGTAGAAACATTAAAGACATATATATATATATATATATATATATACATATATATATATATATTATTTATAAAAACGAACTCTTAAGTCTTATAATATTATTTATAAAAGAAGAAACAAAAAAAAAACAAAGCTAGTTTAAGGATGATCCATCATTCTAGAATAACCCATGACGAATTCAATCCAAAAATAAATGATGAGACAAACAACATAAATAATGATTACAGCACATCATTGTTGGACAAACAACAATGCATGCCCTTTGTTATGTCAAGATTCAACATAATTCCAAACTAACAACAATTTTCGCAGATTCCAGAGGAGGTGAAATAGGGAAAACCCCACCTCATTTCTCGAAGTTCCGGTCTTGTCATTGCAAAGAAGATCAATTTTCTCAAAGAAAATGAGGCTATGGAAAAGGGCCACCGGAGCTCTGAAAGACAAGTACAGCATTTGGGTTGCAAAGATGTCACCGTGTGGCCCTTGCCGGAACCCTGATCTTGAAACATTCATCATAAAGGCCACAAGCCATGATGAACAATGCATGGATTATAAGAACGTTCAAAGAGTTTTCCAATGGCTACGTACATCACCATTATACCTTAAACCTCTTTTGTATGTACTCTCTATGAGAATGGAAAAGACTCATAGTTGGGTTGTTGCTCTTAAAGGGTTAATGCTTGTTCATGGCATTTTTTGTTTTGACCTACCAAATGTTCAAAAGATGGGAAGGTTGCCTTTTGATTTATCACACTTCAGTGATGGTCATGTAAACCCTGAAAAAGCATGGGTTTTCAATGCTTTTGTTCGTTCATATTTTGCATATTTGGATCAGAAATCTGCTTATGTTCGCTTGGGGGAAAAGAAACAGAACAAATATGGGAAGGAAACAGAGGAGACATTGATGGAAGAGCTTCAGAATTTGGAAAAGTTGCAGCGTCTTATTGACATGCTTCTACAAATCAAGCCTCGGCATCAGAATATGAATGTGGTACTTATTCACGAAGCCATGGATTGTGTTATTGATGAGGTTTTGGAAGTTTATGGTAAATTTTGCAAAGATATTCGTAGAGTGTTGTTGAGGGTATGTGATATAGGTGGGAAAGAAGAAGCACGTGTTGGGTTTGATGTTGTGAGAAAAGCTGAAATGCAAGGTAATAAGCTTTCTTTGTACTTTGATTTTTGTCGAGACATGGGTGACCTTAATGTCTCTGATTACCCTGAAATTGTGAGGATCCCTGAAAATGACATTCATGAACTCGAGAGAATAATGAATGGGGTCTCTGAGAAGAAAAGCTTGGAGGGTAATAATGGTGATGTGGTAAATGAGGACAAGGCCATTGTGGTTAGAGATTGCAGTGGCACTGTTAGCATTTCTGAGCAGAAGCAATCAGAGAAAGGTTTGATGACTGTGATCACTAACAAATGGGAGTTATTTGATGATGATTTATTAGTTGGGGTTAAAGAAAATGCTTCCAATGGTACAAGTGCTATTGCTAATGCTACTACTAACCCTTTTCTGGAATCTTATAGCATTGTACCTTATGTTCCTGCTTATAATCATGTACTTCCAGATCTAATTTGTTTATAACACTCTGGTATATATATCTATATGGCTCCATTTTCACTTCACGAGGCTTATTATGTAATACATTTTCATTCATTTGGAAAATAAAAAAGAAATAAGGTAAAGTTCTTATGTCTTTCTCACTCACATTAGGAAAAAAAATAATTGTGATTCTTTCATTAATTTTTCCCTTCTTCGTTTCTAGAAAAATTTCAAACATGTAAATTTTTTATATTTGGTATGACTCGTACCAAATATAAGATTGCGTATAAGAATAGTCTTCACCCCCAACCTTTGTTAATCGGGTTTTAAGAAGAGTTGTTTTTACTATTGTTGAAGTTATTATTGAGTATGACTCATACTTCGCATTCAGATGAGGACTCTTGTTGGGCTCATGAATAGTTGTTGTTAGAATTTTTTAAATCCTATTTATATTCCCTTGTAAACCGAGTTACTTGTAAATTGTAATGAGTCAGTGGCGGACGCAGGAATTTTAATGACGGGGGCGGGGGGGGGGGGGGGGAATAAAAAATATTATATTATTAACAAAAATATTTGAAGTATAATATAGATCTAATATAAAAAAAATTAAAAGAAATCTATTACAAAGATTAAGATCACTTCATTTGACTCTTATTTTACGTATTTTCTTATTGTTAAACTCGTATAAAATTGAATCCATGTTAAAACTCAAAACAATTTCTTTTTTAATGTATGTAATCAAAGAATCATCAAGAAATTGGTCTTCAATTTTATTTCGAAGCTTGTTCTTGATTTTATTTTACGCATGCGGATCATGACATTTTTCTTTCTTTTTAAATGTCAGATTCCACTTGTCTAAATATGTTTGCTACAAAAAATTTCATATGCTATTGTTGCAGAATAGGCGATCCCATAAATAAATCATGTTATTCATTATCAATAAATTAGATACCCACAAAGTTATATATGTCCTTTCATACTTTTTATAGCTAAAATTGTTGGAAATTTAAAGAGATTAAGAATAATTTAGAAGAACATACTACAATTTTTTAATATCACAATCACGTGTTTGGCTTGAGTTGAAAAAAAAATTTCCTAGGAAAATGAGGTTGGAAAATTATTTGTCTATGTTTGGTCGGAAGTGAAGTAAAAATATGGCTGGGATTTTTTTTTCCATGATTTGCTTTTCTATGTAAAATAGTTGGGGAAAATTACTATTGAAGGGGTGGAATTTTTTTCCCCATGTGATGGGAAAATTAACACACAACATCATTAAAATTAACTCAACATTTCTGGAAAAATTTTGACCTACCAAACACCTTTTAGTAACTTACCAAGAAAAAAAAATTCTCATCATATTCTCGGAAAATATTTTTTTCCGGTAAATTTTTTTCCTTTTCTACCAAATGCCTCCTTTAAGTGCTACGACACTCTCTTTCTCTGTTTTCACTATTTTTTGTTTTCTTCTTGCACACTCTTGTTTTTTCTTTTTTGAAACACATAACCTATATATTAGCAAATGAACTACCGAATCAAGCCCCCCACTTTTTAATATTTTAATCCTAGAAATATTTAACTCCTCTTTGTCTTCTTCATAACCAAAATCGTCCATGACTTTTCAAACTAGTACAATTAGGAGAAGCTGAATGAAAAATGAAAATGCAAAAGCTGAATCCTTTTCTTAAATTTTACCCCAAAAGAAAGTAAGAGAGGCTGAGGCGAGTTATTAACTATCAAACTGAAGAGTGAAGAGGTACTTGAAGAGTGTTTCAAGATTGAGTCCCCCCTTCAATGAAAATTCTTGTGCTTCCTCTTCAGTTGTCTTCTCTTGCAATTGCAGGCTGAACAATTTTCAGAAGTTTGATTTTGAGCCGTTGAGGTTTTGTGCTTCCTCTTCACGCTCATGCATATTAGTAATTTACTCACTCACACACATTTTGTAATATCATTAAAATACCATTTATATATATAATTTTTCCCATCAAATTTTAGGGGGGCGGGCCCTAGCCCCCTCTAGTTCCGCCTCTGTAATGAATGGCGGTGAGATGAATATAATATAATACATTGAATGAATCAAAATAAACCTTTGTGTGAATTTCTCTTCCTATGTCTCTTCTTTTTCTCGATTTGTGCGAGATAAAAGAGTCAAAATCTAATTTCACTCCTCCTTTTTTGATCAAATGAGTTTGTTTCAGTTATCAACAGTGATGGTTGGTCATGAGCAAGGTTCATTTATTATTTTAATTTATACAGAAGACTTATAGGTTATTGTTGAAGAGTTCTTCATTATTTCGACAAATATGATTAATTGTGAATTTTGATAAAATTGAATGTATGATTTTGATAATTTGGCTTGTTAGGATAATTAACAATAAAATTAAGTTTATAACATGTACGTCGGCCATAACTCAGGTCTGGGTCATGACATTATTAATTCTTATTTAGCAAATATAATATTATCTAACATATTAATATTGTGTCAATATTTTATTTATTTAGTGTACCGAAGTTGAATACATTAAATTTATACAAAAGTCACTTATAAACTCACTCAGTATTAGAATCTCTCCTTTTAAGCCTCCTTGTTAATAGGTTTGTTTGATATAAAAAAAAAAAAAAAAGGAAAAACACTTCTCCTGAGGAGTGTGTTCTTATGCCATAGACAGAAAAAGAATTTGTTTAATTTTTTATTTTGTTTTTCAAAATGCATGGTGGGCCCAATCAAGATTTACTGTCTGCGGTAGAGAAAAAAGTATTGCTGTCGCATGAGAGCCTCTCACCCCTAAAAAAAAAAATCTTATATCATGAACGTCATGAGATATAATTTATAAAAGAAAGTTATACTTACTACTAAATAAGTTTATCATTTCTTACTATTTTATTTATAACCATCAGATAGTAGTTAGTAAAATATGATAAAAGGAGAAAAAGCGAGAGCAAGTGGGGGAAGTGGTTGAAGAGAGAGAAATTTTTTTGTATCAAATTACATCGGTTGATTTGATTTCTATCCACGGTTATACAAAAAAATAATAGAAGATCATAAACTTATTTGATAATAAATATAATTTCTTCCTAATTTATATTGTTTGCCTTAACATCTTAAAAAATTTGTGATGCTTTGTTGAATATTTTGGACAATGGCCCAAAACTCAAATACAAACCCAGCACAGGTTCTGGACCTAAGACGTTGAGGAGAAAGTCCAAACCCCTTGATGACTATTAAAGCAATTAAATCGACGAATTGTTGGAAGCTTTTACATTATTTACTTTTTTTCTTTTTTTTGTGGTAAATACATGGGGCGAAGCCCCACAAAACAAAACAGAAACTAAAAGCAAACTACAAGACAGCAAAAACAGAAAGCGTAAAAGGTACTACTGTTAGCCAAAGCAGAACGAACAGCAGTAACTAAAAATCAGCTGAGGCTTGTCCTGGATCAAGCAGGTCCGCAACAAGAAGGTTGAGCAGCTCACATTGAGGGGATGAGATTGTAACAAGGCCAAAGGAAGTATCTAAGGCTTTCTTTGCAATCCAATCAGAACAATTATTACAGCACCTTGGAACATGTTTCAAAGAGACAGTCCAGTCTCTAGAAAGCACAACTCGAATCCTAGCCACCAGTGATGGCTCTCGAGTTTCATTACCAGACTTGGTAAGATAGCTTAAAGCTTGAACAGAATCTGACTCCAAAGTAATACTCTTCCAACCATAACTCCAAGCAAACTCCAATCCATGAAAAATTGCCCAAAGTTCAGCTTGTAAGGGGGAACAAGAGCCAATAAAAGCAGAAAATCCACTAATCCACACACCATTACAATCTCTTAGCAGACCTCCACAAGCCGCTCTATCCATTGATGCTGCCCCATCCACATTCAATTTGAGGAGACCTTGATCAGGGACAGTCCATCTGGAAGGGGCAGGGTGCACCAAATCTTCTGGAACATGCCTCAGCTTTCGGTTGCTTCTGCAACTGCTGTTTTCCTCAACTAACGCAGCAAGGACACGGGCTGGATCTTCTGGCCGTTTTGCAGTTATATCATGGAGCTCCTTATTTCTCCAAGACCACACATAGTTGCAGGCAGAAAAGAAGAAATCCCTCCAGTCTTTATCTATTGTATTCCCCAGATTCAAGTTAAGTTGCATCCACTCTTTAAAAGAACTACAGTTGAAGAAACCAGTAGGCAAAGGTTGGAAGAGGGGTGATAGCCAAACCTGTTTTGCTTTGGGACAGTCCCTAAAAGCATGAAGGCAAGTCTCCACTAGAACAGAACACGAAGGGCAGCTAGATGAAGAACCAGACCATCTGCTAATGTATTCTTTGGTTAGCATCCTCTCAAGAAGCATCTTCCACATGAGAATTTTGATCCTTTCTTTACCTTTCCAGCTCCAAATTCTATCCCAATTATCATGGCTGTCATTATTGGCATTGCTAGTCAAGCTCCTGTATGCAGATTTCACAATGGATTGGCCTGTAGACACATTTGTCCAGCACATATAATCCTCTCCTGCTTCCTCATTCGGACAAGGGATGGCCAGGATCTGATTCACTATACTCTTATCAAAATGCTGCATAAGGAATTGAAGATTCCATCCCTCCTCCGACAGAAAGGAACTATGATTTAACTTGAGCGCAACATCCTCATCTGTAGGGGAAACAGATGCAAGGGACAAAAGATCATAATTGGAACCTATCCAATTATCTTTCCAGAAATCAACTTTCTTTCTGTTTCCAATCTGCCAACAGAGGCTTTCAAATTAGGACTCTTTAGGACACTAGGGCTAACATTACTCCCTAGGTCTTTTTTCTGCTGGCTTGGTTGTTTTTTGTTGGATAAGTCAACTCCAAAGCTTCTTTCTTCTTTACCTTCGGATTTTTTCACTTGAGGATTTTTTGCAAACTTCTTCCTTTGGACCACCATCCAGGGTCCCACACCTGAACTCACAGTAGGAGTCTCTTTTACAAAAACAGGCTCCTGAGTCTTATTGCTCTCATTAGGTTTCACAATGTTTGGGCATTTTTCAGAATTATGCCCATACTTCCCAC